CTTCTCCCCGCCCTTGCGCCTCTTTCGCACTGAGCTACACTTATATCGCTACACTTGCATACCTTCAACTTCACATTTCGATCGTATGAAAACTGTTGTATTTTTCTAATATATATATTTAGGATCAATTTCATTTCTGATTTGAATATTTAATCAACGCGATAATTTATATAAACCATAAACACCAAACTATATCATTATACAATAATATGCTATATTAAAAAATTGTAAATCGTAAAAATTGTATATTATAAATATAAATTTATAAATATTATTATAAATATAATTTAGTTATATTTTATATATAATATTATATATATTTAGTTATAATTTAATTAATTATATTATTATTATATAATATTAATTAATAATATTTATAATTAAATAATTAAATAATTAAATAATATTAATATTATATAATATTATTATAAATATAATTTATAAATATATATATAACATTGTATATTATAATATACAACACGGTGCCTCGNTTTACGGCTCCGATACGCCTCTCCTTTTCTCTTTTTTCTATCCTTGTTCGAATTATCGCACTCAAGGTAGCGAGTAAAGCTACCTAGTAGCGAGATTATCTTGTTTCGAACAGAAGTAAAACAAATATATCTCGAATATTTATATTCGTGGATGAGGATATAAAAATTGTTTTCTATATTAATATTACGAAATTATGTGTAGCTAATATATAAGTAATGCAATATTACTGATATTAAAATATTAATATAATTAATATAATATTATAATTAATATTATAATATTAAAATATTGTAGGACGAATAATTAAATTATCGGGAGGGGAAAAGATTCGGATGTTAGTTGGTCAAGATTCCCCTTTAAAATTTGCCTGGACGGATAAGGTGTGGAAACTTTTCAATTAGATTCCAAGTTACGCGCAACACACTTCGTCATCCCTTCGCGCCTGTTAACCGTGTTCTCCACCTCCTCCTCTTCGGTAATATCGGAAAATCGAGTTAAAACTAGTAGTTGGAGCGAGTAGGACAAAGAGAGAGAGAGAGGGAGAGGCATTTTGATCGGGCGCCGGGAGGCCAATGGCCGGCGGCCTCTACCTTAGCCAAGAAATTTCCATAGATCCTTAACGCGTCGGTGGAGTGTACGCAAAGCGGCACAGACTTTGCGGTAACGGGCGCGTCGTGCATCAGCCACAGGTGCCTTCTCTCACCTCGACGTACTCGCCGCGTTCATGGCTGTTGTAAAAGCGTCGTCTCCATCAAGCCGCCGTATCGGCGCAACCCTTTGTAGCCTTCTCGCTGTCGCACGCCCATCACTCGGGATGAAAAGCGAGGGTATCGTTGTTGCCACTCGGTTTCGAGCAACGCTCGATCACGGGACGTATGGATTTTTGCCGAGATTAATTCTAGAGATATTGGCGCATATTTAATTTTTTTCCAATTAAAAATTCTTAAAAAAGAGGAATCGAGGAAAAGTATCTTTTAATAGTGAAAAATTTCCATGATGGAACGAAGGATTGGAGATTAATCTTAATTCTAAAGATATTAATATATATGTAGTATTTTGTTTTCTTTTTCAAATTGAAATGATTCTAAAAGAAAAGGAATCGAAGAAAAGTATCTTTTAATAGTGAAAAATTTCGATGATGGAACGAAGAACTGGAGATTAATCTTAATTCTAGAGATATTAGCATATATGTAGTATTTTCTTTTCTTTTTCAAATTGAAATGATTCTAAAAAAAAAAGAAATCGAAGAAAAGTATTAACAGTGAAAAATTTTACTACGATGGCTGTTTTTTGAAAATGATTATAACGAGAGAATATTATATTTGGAGAGAATTTAGAAGTTTCTAAAAAAAAAGAAAGTCAAAAATGATTTTTGAAGAGAGTTTCTGAATTTCATTCGATGACAAAGCAGAGCCAGTTTCTACTTTTGATGAACGGAGGGAAGGCACGATTCATCCATAATGGAGCCGACAGTGATGGCCAATAACAGTGTGAACAGCTGCTCGGCTAACTAAGTTTTTCCGTATAATTGTGCACGTTCAAAAGTCATCCTTAGAAATATTAAATATTATTCATCCATCTGATAACTTCTGCAGGGGAACAGAATTTTTTAAATTCGTATTTTAGTCGATTACGTAGCATCGTGAAAAACGCCTGAGAATCTTCCATCAGTCTTAACTCAAAAATACGTTTCTCGTGTGAATCTTCCTAAACGAATCGTAAATATTCCATTTCAAGAAATGGCCTCTTATAATCTGAAGACAAATCGAAATCTTTAGTTAGAATCTTAAAATTAAATTTGCTAAAAATGAATCGAACGCGTATACGTACAAAATATTTATTGGATCACAACATCCCTATTCGACTCAAAATTCGAAATTTTTTCTCGATCGAAATTCCACTTTGTCTCGCAATAAATCGTTTTCAAATATAGGTTAACGAGTCGGTACGGTTAAGTAGAATAATTGTCGGGATTAATCCGAAGAGAGTTGGGGAATTTAATGAGGATTAATCGAGTTGAAGACGCGTGATGGATGCTTGGATGGACAATGCGAACGTTGGTTAAACGTTTCCAACTTCTAACTTCGTCCCCCTTTGTTTGTCGGCGCGGATGAAACGCGAATTTTGACGGGGTGGGAAATTTATAGCTGCGCGGCGAAGAATTCGTTAATGGAGAGGGGGAGGATTCGGTCTGACTCGTGTTGTCTTTGGAAATATAATTAACGGCCGGAAACCCGAGACGAGGGAAGTCGTTTCGCGACTGATGTGATGGACCGTGATGATGTTGAGCGTGTCTAATGTCCCCCCCCCTCCCTGCGAATTCAATTTAGAAATCTCTTAGATTGTTGCGACGATGGCAGAACAATAGAATCGCGAGAATTGTTATTTACGAAAAGGAAGAATTTGAGAAATTTTTATGCGTTGTAATGCGGAAGAAATAATAGTGGAATCGTGTGATATTTTTCCAGAGTTTAATTTAGAAATCTCTGAGATCTAAGAATGGAAGAATGGTAGGATTGAATAGGAGAGTAATAAGTTTATTTATTATTTTAAGAAATTAATTATATTTTTAAGAAATTTGTACGTTTATTTTCAAATTCATCCATCGATTCGAAACGAAATATCTTTAGAGTCTGCGTGTTGAACATTGAATACAGTCGCTACATGAAGCATCGTTACGCTCGAGTGGATGAACTTCAATAATCATCTGTTTTAAAATCGTTTCTGGTTAGAGAGAGGTTTAAGTAAGAGGTTAAGTATCAAAACCTTACCTCTTTCCTCCGTATTACGTATTCATTCACGAATTTCTTAAAATTACTCATCCGCTTTAACTCTCTCGTTTCAAATATTCGAAACAAAATCCCTCCTCCTCCCTGAAAAAAAGAAACAAGACAAATTATTAACAAAAAATTCTTTTACATCAATAACCCCCCAAGAAAAATATCGATCAAAATTTAGTCGATCGACTTGTTACAATTTATCATCGCGAAAGAATTTGTATTAATTTCAATAATCCGCTGAAAAACGTTAACGATATTATTCCATATGCGCGCGCAACAGGGTAAATTGGACGAAACGTGTTTGTTTATCGGGCGTCACGGAATTATAGGAAAAGTTGATCGAGAGCGGGCACAGTTTTCGCTTACAATGGGCTAGGTTGGCAAAACGGCACGGGATCCGAGCGTGCGAGCGATGAGCACAGGCGATAAAACCAATGTCGACAACCAACACTGTTCGCAGTTTTATGGGGTGTCGGCTAAATACAACGCGGCGCGCACACCTTAACAACTGCCGCGCGACAGACGGGGGATAGAAATACGGCGGAGAGCGCGCCAAGTATTTCCATTCTCTGCGACGGATGGACAGCGTGCGCGGGACAAATTTACATCCGTTTAATCGAATCGTTTTAATGGCCCGAGGGTTCGAAAAACGATATGTACGATCATCGATTATTAATAACTAACGAGATGGATTAATTAGTATGTTAATCCTGCCACCGGGTTGGTTCATAATTCACCTCGATTAATTTTTTTTTTCCTTCTTCAAAGAATTTGTCGTGTTATTAAAATTGTGAATGTAACTCGTGTCGAATAATGGAAAGAGAGTTTGAAGAGTTTGATGCAAGAATTGAAATATATAATTATAATTTCTATATAAAACGAAATTTTCGATTCTGGTTAATAAAAAAATGTTAAAGAAAGATTTTTATATAGTTAAGGAAGTTTATCAAATTCATATTTTTACATAATTCTTTCCCCCCTCTGGTTTAAAATTTTAAATTTTCTGAATTTAATTTAATTTCGTAATAATAATAAGTGACAATTACAATTTCTTTTCGTACTTTTAAACTTCTTGATATTCTTGAGATGACAAAGTCACGTTCTCTTCTATCTCTTCTCCACGAGACCATTGCGAGGTAACAGTGACATTCGATTTTTCTCGTTGACACTGAACCCTCTTTCCGCCCGTGGAAAAAATATCACTGCGAAATATAGTGTGTATATATATATATATAAAAGAAGAAAGACCTTACATTAAGCTTGCTCCACGCTATTAAGTTTAAGCAGCTTCCACCGTGGAAAAGCTATGGCGCTAATAGGATATACTCGTCCTGTATTTGTACCAAGCGAATTTAGATTTACCGTCTTCTTAATGTTTCTCGTCGTTTCTTCGCCTTTCGCTTTTTGATTTTAGAGATTGGCGAAATTTTTCCATTAGGACAACTTAACTATTTAATGCCATACGTCTGTGTAAAAAAATGTTGTTACAAACAAACGTTTGAAAATTCTCGAAATGAAGAAAAATAAAATATTGAAAATTTAAAAGATTTTTTTAAAAAATGTGGCTCGCGACTTTCTCCCAAATTTTGATCTTAAAGGTATAAATTAAGCTATCGAGTTTCTTGCAAATCTTAAATCTTTATTTCCTAAAAGCATCTTCGATTTTGTTCATCTCTCGATATTGGAAAATTTTTATGAAATATAAATTCTATGATCTTTTGATTGCAGGGTCGAGTTTGGCGACGGAATCGAGGATTCTCTTTAAGACGTAGATTGGGTCTGTAGACGGGTTTATCAGCTGTGCATGTCCGAGTTCACTGGTGAGTTTCTCCAATTCTGTTTAGAATGTATTTCCACATTCGTTCATCGACGGTTAACCGTGGTTGAAATTTTGGAAGAATTATCTTGAAAAGTAACGAACAGATTCGTGGTATTAGAAATTATATTTACGAGACGCGCCCTACCTTCCTTTGTACTTTACGATCAGCAGTAAAGTCTTGTGACGTAATATCGATAGTTTTAGTTCCCGATACCGCGCTCCGAGCCCGGCAAATATAAACAAGAAATCGCATGTTTGCTTATCATTACAGCTAATATATTATATCGATCGATGTGAAACACGTAGAAAATATTTTCTGATATTTCTACTAAAACAAATTTTTAATATAATTGAAAATGTTGGAATACTATCGTTGAACCACTTAAACACCGTATTTTCCCTGTTTCTGAAAACTCTTCGTCTCATAATTAAAAATTAATCTTCAGTACTCCATCGAAAATCTAAAGATCTTCCATTATTATAATCGAATATCGAAATCCGTTCAATTTTTGCAAAAATTTCTTTTTAACGATTCCATTCCTAAAATTTCTCTCGGATTATTCTCTCGCGTCACCCTTTTGCCAATTTTCCAACGATCGTGTTTCCGGGACGGAAAGTGGGAGAATAAAGGTTAAGGTCAGTTTGGAGGATCGGCGAAGAGGCGTGGAAATTGAGAGTACGAAAATATCGGGGCGCGATTTAAAACCCACTCGAGCGGGCGATCGGGCGACGAGCGGGAAAAGTCGAGAGGGAAAAGCGCGATATTGAAACGAGAGAGCGTGCGTGCAAGGAACGTTCGCATCGTGATCATCGAACGATAATCGGGGAAACGAGTAGAAGAAGTTTCAGAAGTTGTAAAACGGGAGTTTATGATTCGAGATACGTCGTGGCCGACGGTAAACTGCTTTATTACAGCATCAAAGGGAACATTCACGAAAATTGGTCACGCTCGTAATATTATCGCGCATCGTAACGCATTAATATCGTGTCACGGTATATTTCATACCTTCTCGTATTACTGTTGTTTA